AATTTGTACCTGTACATGATATACCTTGATTTTTTTCCCCCATTCCCCTACCTTCCCTTAAACCCTTCCCTCTCCCCATTTACAGAAGCTTTGTTTCCAATTTTTTAAAGTTTCTTTTACTCAACCTCCCCTCCTTGTAAATCTCTCCCCATTGAACATTTTCTTCGTATTTCAAAGTACCTAGTATACATTTTGATTCTTAATTACACTTTCGATTTCCCACACCAGAGAAACAATGCAGTATTTACACAAGTCTGACAAGAGTATAGTCTAAAGGTACATGCAGGTTAAATGCATTTTGACTTTTTAATTTACGATGAGTTTTTTGGTGCCTGACCGCATTATATGTTAAACATCTGAACTTCCCCTAATAACTGTGTACAATATCAACATTCCCTTTTGCTTTTGCAACCCCCTTCCCATTTTTATAGTATTGGGGATTGAACCCAGGGCCTTCTCACTAAGTTATGTCCCTGACCCTTTTTATGTTTTTAGACAGGGTCTGACTAGGGTAGAACTTGGAATCCTTCTGCATAAATCTTCCAGAGGGTTGGGATTACAGGCATGCATCACATGTGTGGTTTCAGCATGGTTTTCTTTATGAAAATGATTGGTTATTGGTGAGGAGGCTATTGATTTTAGCAACCATATTAAAAGTTCATATTAAAAAGTGTGGAGCCCGGTGTGGTGGCTCATGCCTGTAATCCCAGCACTCGGGGAGGCTGAGGCAAGAGGATCGTTGTGAGTTCGAGACCATCCTGGGCTACAAAGTGAGCTCGAGGCCAGCCTGAACTGCACAGCGAGACCCTGTCTCAAAAAGACCAAAGGGGTGCAGGGAAAGGCCTGGAATTGCAGTGCCAACTGCTACAGTGAGATCAGTATCTAAAATGAAGCTTGAAAGTAGGGGTTACCAATCCTGGTTTGCCCAGAAAAATTCCCAGTCCTGGCAGACCCAAACCCAAATGGTCACTCTGAAAAGGGACAAACAAAATTACAGGAGTCCAGTTCATCAAGTTTGAATGGTGAGCCGCTGGATAAGTATTTCAACTAATCTTAATTGCTATCAGGGTGCTTGGGGCCAGACTCTCTCAGGTAACCAGAAGTTACTACATAAGGCCTTTTAGATTAAGATCAGCATCTTGAATTTAGGATTTTGTGGCAGGTAGTTTAGATTTGAGTGGAATTACATCATTGATTTTTGTCTAATTTGCTGATCTCTAATTCTGTACTGGTAGACCCAAGAAGCAGTCTAATCCATCTTTTTATATTAGCAGTATTTAAAAAATTTGTTAATGTAAGCAAATTAGAAGCCAAGTGAAAAATTGAGTTTATACTTAATGAGACTGTATTAATCTTTAGAGTTTCAAAATTCAGATGGTGATGTCTAAGCCTCTAGTTTTCAGTAGTGTAGTCTGTCACTCTCCTTTTTTTGTGTTGCTGAGGCTGGTGTCAAACTCCTGGGTTCAGGTGATCTTCCTGTGTTTGCTAAGGACAGGCACACCACCACACCTGGTTCTCTTTTCCTAACTTTTCAATAGATTCACTTACTGAATATCTGTGTAAATAAGCAGAGTACAGGGAAAATCAGCTGTTGACCTGTCTTCCATTTCCTTCATTAGACTAATGAAAGCAGGAACTTCTCATTTTGGTTGAAACGAATGAAAACGTGGATTATCTGGGTTTTTACAGTGCTCTGTAGTTTACAGGTTTTATTTTTTTGAGGTGGTCTTACTATGTGGTTTAGGCTGTCCTTGAACTCGATACTCAATGTAGTCCAGGTGATCCTTCTGCCCCAACTTCCCAAGTGCTGGGACTATAGGCGTGGGCCACCATGCTGCCAGGTTACTGTATTGAAACAATCTAGGAAATATTGGAACGTTGATTTAAAGAAAATGTTTTAAAGTATTTTGTAATGTGTAGAGGGAGTGCAGATTGTGGATTTTAAAATTGTTTTGCTAATCTTCTTGTGAGGAAAGGGCATTTAGAGTAGTGACTTTACCTTTTCCTTAGAAAAGGCAGTCAGAACTTGTGAAGGGCTTATGGTGAATAGATTCAGAATGGAGGTATTTGGGAAACTGCTTCTTGTCTTATCAGTGTCTCCCAGCAGATACACTTTGTAAGAGCAGGGTTTAAGAAAGAAAGGAGTACTGAGTCCCTTGAGATTTAGAGCCTGGGAAGCAATAGCTACTCAGGAATCATGTAAAACCTGTATAACCACGTGGAAATCAGTGTGCTCCAGGTTAGGTTCTCAGACTTTGATAAGCCTAAGAGTCTTCTGGAGACTTGTAAGAAACCTGATTTCCCAGCTGCAGCCCCACAGCTTCTGATTTGGTAGGGGGTGTGTGGTGTGGACAATGTTTGTGTTTGCGGAGACAGTTTGCCTGAATATAGTACATTGGAAACTGCTTTAAAGTGGCAGGAAGACGGTGACTGAAAATAGATGAACATACGAACTAAAAAATGTGATAAAACTTTTTTTTTTTTTTTTTTTTTTAAATGATTGGGTAGTGGGGATTGAACACAGGACTTCTGTACTGGACCTTTTTTTTTTTTTTTTTGAGATATGGTCTTACTAAGTTGCTGAGTTGCCCAGGCTGGGCTAGAATTTGTGTTGGTCTTGCCTCTGGCGTGCATTGTGTTTTATTTATGAGAAAGGGTCTGGCTGTGTTGTAGTGCAGTCTGGCCTCAAACTTGAGACAGTCCTCCTGCCTGTGTCTGAGCGCTGAGAGTAAGGTGTGCACCATCACGCCTGCCTTGCATTGATTTACATGTACAAAAATATCTCCTTTGGGCTCCTGTGGTTATCCAAGAAGGGACCTCAGAAGGTAGCTGCCTGGTATTTGTATAATGTGCAGTTTTAAAAGACCTTTTTGAGCTTGCACTGAAGAGCGTACTCATTTTAAACCATGGAAATACTGCTTTATATTTAGGTGAACTACTCTGATTCAGTAACATGTTAAGTCTTAGACATGAAGCTACTTAAAAGATTCAAAGAAGTTTGGTTCAGCTTCCAAATTGCAGAATTATACATGAAATTTTACTTATGTGGATCACAGTAATGGTTAATACTTTTATAAGTTCGCAGATTCCACTAAATTCACGGCAGTCTTGTCTGGTATCATTAAGCTCATTTTACAGATGAGAAAACCAAGGCTGAGAAATTCAATTACTTAATGGTCATAAAGCAAAAATTGAAATCTAAATTGGTCTTAACCATTGAGTTGTCATGTATGATGCTCATTTGACTCCACTTTGGGGGAATCTTTCAGAGCAAATGGGAAGTACACACCTTAGGCTTCAAATACTCTGGTATAATTTCTTGGTGATTTTTGGTAAGAGATGGTGATGCTGAATATTTTTTGATTATTTTGTAAATAATTTAAAAACTTGTGAATTTCAATTTGAAGATCTTAATAAAATACTTGAAATGTAATTTCTAATGTAATGTTATGCTGATACCTAACAAGTTGTTAAAGCACCTACCTGTTAAGTCTTTATATTTAGTGGAATGTAATACCAAAATGAGTTGATGTCCATCATGGTCCACTTCAAATATAAATATTTAAAATTAATATTCTTCCTTTTTCTTTGAATTGTTTTTGTGTCATATTTCCCCCAAAACCTTGTTCTTACATAATAAATGTTTATGAAAATTTACTTTTGGTTATTCTTTCATTCTTGGCAATATATTTGTATACAAATTGAAACATTTTAAATGTGCTGTCTATTCATAAGGCAACAGATGCCTCTTGTTTTTTCTGGATTATTAAAATTGGTAGCACACACCAGTGATCCCAGTTACTTGGGAGACTGAGGCAGGAAGGACAGCAAATTTGAAGCCAGTCGAGGTAACTGTGAGTGGTCCTGTCTTAGAATAAAGGGCTAGGATGTAGCTGAGTGGCAGAACATACAGGTTGCTTGTCCAGGTCTGTACCCAGGAATACAAAACAAATTATTTCACCTATACAGCAAATTACACATGTTCATTTGTACTTGATGTATGATTTTTATTAGAAATAACAATGCTTCATGGATGGAACATCTAATGGCTTGACTCAAGGAGTTGCTTTTAATTGAACAGTCTTTTAAGTTGGCTTCAGGGTATGGCTTCTCAGGTTTTTAAAAACATTTAAAGATCTAAGTATACTAAACCAAGTTCCAAAGGGTAGATAAGGTAAATTGAGAGGAAAGATGGGATAGGTGATCAGGCTTGACCCACTGATGCAGATATTTATGTACATAGGCACACACATGTTAGGAAATGACATGGAACATGATCTAAAAGCCAGTTCTTCACCTATTCCTTATATCCTCCTTGGGGAATTTTTGAGTACCTCGGGTGGAAAAGCATCTATTCATACTGCTGAGAAAGATACTAGATGTTCACTTAAGCACTATTATATCAAATACATGGCTATCAGTAAAGGTATAGACAAATGTATTCTCTTGGAATATGCCAAGCAACAGTTAAGGTGTAAGGTGATAGCACCCATTTTGGAACAAAGTAATACTACGAAGAATAATGGGAAAGGAACATGCAGTTTATCCTGGTGAGGACTAATGGGCAAAGACATTTAGATACAAATTAAAACGTGTTAATATTTCTTAATTTCCCCAAAATATGTGTGAAATGAGAACACATGCATCTCTGGGGAAGATAATGGGATGGACTTGGTGGTGAAAGAGTAAACTGGATTAATAAAAGTGCCAGTGAACAGTCATCATGCCATCTAAAATAGGTATATAAAACTTACTGTTGCCATCAAAAGCCTGCCTTGACATTGCATATATTGATTTCAACACTCCTGAGTTCCTATGTGGTTCTTTTAGCCACAGCCAAGATTGGCTTTCCACAAGGTAGGTTAAAGGATTAGTGGCCAAAACCTTAAGGCTTTTAATGTTAAGACAACCTTTGTCTAGGTTTCCTAGACAGGTTATCCAAAATTACTCACCTAAAATAAACGTTTTACTTCACAACTATCAGTGAAACAGACCCAAACTAGATTCTTTATAATTTTTATTTAAGTAACTAGGAGCTGGAAAAGACCATTATATATACTTCTTGGCTTAAAAAAATGACATAGTAAACATGAGATTACACAACAGAGAACATTTAGTTTTGATTGTAGAAGTTGAACATCTTCTGCAGTGACACATTTGGTTATCACACGTTTAGAAAAATACTCGTCCCAGCTCAAACATTACCTTAGGATGATAAAAAGAATTATTAATTTCATGGCAAAGAAATTACTATTACAGATGAACCGACTTCCAAGATGATTAGTGAGCTGCAAACCTGGTGCACAGCTGCTTGTTGGGATGCTGGGCTGCATCTGATTTACCGCTAGAATAAACATGGTATCTAAAATGTGGAACCTTTTAAAAATTACATTTAATGAATGGTAAAATACAGTTACTTGGTTTTTTAAAAAAGTCAGTTCAAGACTAAGTGTGTAAGTTGTTTGTGTTAATATTTTTTAATTTCCCCAAAATATGTGTGAAATGATCACTGGAACATCCTCTTTTTGGCTGTGATTTTTGTATCTCAAATTGTCTATGTTGTCACATGCCTTTCTTTGTAAAAAGGTGGACAGATGACTGCAGTACAGTGTTCATACTCACCTCTATGGCAATGAGGATGACGATCATCCACTCCAGGCGGAGTGCTCTCTTTTCATTCAGGTGATTTCGCATTAGATCTGTTAGTTCCATGCAGTGCTGGAGTTTTTCATTCATGACCTGTAGAAGAAAGATCAAAGTATGTATTTAAACAGTTTACAAAAAAATTGGTATTTCATCACATGTCAAACTTGTATATGCATTGTGAGTGAAAGTTATCTCTGAACTCTTGCTCCCCAGTCCTGGCGCCTGAGGCAACTGACCAGCAACCAGCAACTGTTTGCTTTCTATGAATCTAGTGAGCCATTTTGTAATGCAAAGTTCACCAAGAAATACAGGCTTTTAAGATCTTAGTTTCTGGTAGCCATCTTTGTTTTTAGTAAGAAAAAGAGGCCAAACTTAGAATGTGTTTTTTTTTTTTTTTAAAAAACACAGACTAATGATGACCAAAAATGATTTTCTTGTTAAAAACGCAAAAATAATGCTTGAGCTGGTGCAAGCTCACCAGTAGATGGCAGCATTTTAACTGCAGAAGCTCTGCATTATGCTGCCTCACAAGTTGATGGTAGAAATTCATGGAAAATAAAATCTTTGAATTTAAAACTTAGATGTGATTGCTGAGTCATGTCTGCCTAATACCTCTGTATAGTTTCCTATGAAAGTTGGGAGGACTTGACACATTTTAAACATAGTTTTCATGGGGGCATATTGAAGATGCAGTTGGAATGAACACTAATCACAAATGCTTGTACAGGGACTGACAACAGGTCAGACAATGCATTGACCACGTTCCTGAGAATTCTGCACAGAGGATGAGACTGCCTTACCAGTGAGGGAATGCAAGGTAGCACTGAACTATCTGGGTAACATTCACTTATATTCGCCCTTCCTATACTGGGGACTGAACCCAGGGCCTTTGCAGTAAGCTGCATCCATCTCAGGCCCTTTTATTTTTTATTTTGGGATAGGATCTTGCTAAGTCCCTAAGTTTCCCAGGCTGGACTCAAAACTTTGATCCTTTTGTCTCAGTCTCGGAGTGCTGTGATTGTAGACATGCATAGCCATGCAGGCCTATAGCCCATATCCCAGATAGCGGTTTCTTTCCCAGTTGTAAATGACATTTTAGATTACTTGAACTTTTGGATTATTTATACCCTAAGATGACGTGGGACACTAATTTTGCATCAAAGGTTGCTTCAAGAAGAGACATGTATATGTGGGTTTGGCTTCTGTAGCCAAACTTCCTGACATTTGGTATTAATAACTGTTTAGCGCATATATAACTGTACATAATATATACAATTATATATGTGCCGTTTCTTAAAATTTTATTAGTGTGTTTGCTGTACATAATGTTTATGTTTTTTGTGTGGAGTTGACCTTGTAGTTGCTAGTCTGATTTTATAGTAATGATTTTTTCCTTTTTTGCCCCTTTTCCTCCCAAATTTTTCTGTTGATTGCTTAATCTTGGTCTCGAACAATGGTGGTAAATCTATGGCATGTGTGCGCAGTGGGCATGCAGAGCCATAAGCATGAATTTATTTTTTTAAACCTCAGTATTTAGGTTTAATTGCAGTGTTTGCACTTTGTGATAAATAAATGGGTTCTGGTTGCAGTTTAGGCACTCACTGTCTGAAAGGTTCACCATCACTAGAACACGTGCATCTTTAAGCTTGCTTTGCTTGTTAAACTAACTTGGCTCTTAATTCCTTTACTAAGGAAGTGTTCTTCCTACACTTTATCACCCAATTTACTAACCCCCTGGAAATTAGGTATGTTGCCACAACTCTCCTGACACTTCCAAAAGCCTCCTAATTATTATATCCAATGGTTCTTTGTTCTGAAGCTCACACGTTGGCATGTGCAAGCAAGAGTCTGTCTTCCTGAGTGCTTTATGGTGTTTGATTTATCTTCAGAAGTGCGCACACTGTCTGGAAGCAAAAGGATAGGAGAAGTGGGGTGGGCTTCACCACCCTGCTGGATGGGAACTGGACTGAACACATTCACAGTGGGGCTATAATTCATGTCTTGCGCTGGGTAGCTTGAGCAACTGGTACATGTATGCATGTCCCAGCAAGTGGTTTTTTCATTAGTAAAAAAGACCAATAAAAGTGATCAGTGTATACCACCAGTGGTACCAGCCACCTGATGGATAGTGATGCACGTACTACAGGTGGCTCAAGCTGAGCTGACAGGAAAGTGATTAAACAGGCTGCTGCCAAGAAGCAAAGAAGTGCAGAGGTAGAGGGGGCAGGAGAACAGAATTGCAAGCAAAAGGAAAAGTACAGAGACAAGCATAGCTAAAAATGGTGGACAACTTTGAAGTGAGGTTAGTAGGTAATTGTGAAAAGCAATGAATGTATGAGGTGTGGTCAAACCTTACAAGGTTGAAATTTTAAAGTAAAAGAGTGCTGTTCATCTCCCTCAAAATATTCCCCGTCATTTTGAACATATGTCCTGCATCATTCTTGCTAGTTTTGTGAAGCAGGTCTGCAAGTCTTCTGTCTGTAGTTGAGCTCTGTTGTGTCTGCTTTCATGTCCAGGATCCATCTAAAACCTTGACCATTGATGGCCATTTTGAGTGGAGGATAGGCAGAAGTTGCACAGTGGCAAATCCGGTGATGAAGATGAGGACACACTGTAATAGTTGCAGAGGCCTGCCTTTCTGTCTACAACTGCTTCAGAAAGTGGCAGAAATAACAGAATGTGTGTTCAAGGCAGAGCATTCTGACTATGATTATTGTTAATGTCTCTTACTGTGAGTTTTAAACATTAACTGTATTGTGATCGCTCCTTGTGCACTACAAATACTGTAAGCGTGATAAATTTGTGTTAAATCTCTAGGCCTGTGGTAATTCGTTACAGCAGTAATAGAAAACTCATATGCCAACCTGTAATGTAGGAATCTTACTTTTCAAGTGAATAGGAGTCCTTTGTTTAACTATGAGATACTCAACATTTATCATGCTGCCAGGCAGAGAAGACAGTGGTAAGATGGATGCCGCTTTCTGCCTTCTAGCCAGAGGGATAGCCGGGCTAAGAGGACAGGCAAGGCAATAGATACTCCGGGGGGTGGGGGGGGGGCGGAGCGGTGGCCGAGGGGCTGCTATGTGAACTGTGTGATGAGGCGGTGAGGGTATGGTATCCTTCCCCTGGGTCTGTCACATAGGCTTCGCTGGTTTTGCCAATGACCAGGTGGAACATAGAGGGAAATGAAAAGGTGGTTGGCCAGATACAGAGGGTAAAGCAGAAGACACCAAAATGACTTCGAAAATTTGCCAACAAATGACTAGATAGCAGAGGCTACATGGCTTTCCATTAGCCGAAACAACAGGGAAGGTTCAGAGAACACAAACCATTGCACTTTGCGATCTCAGTCACTAGTTTCCTTTCTTTTTTAACTAATACCAAGTACCTATTATAGGTAGTTTTTTTTATCAATGATCAGGGTCTCTGACCTCTTGGAGCTTCCAGTGGGGAATGATCCTGAAAGGGAAGCTGTGATACTGTAAATGAGGACTGTGAGATTAAGAGAGCAACTAGAAACATTCAGAAGACACACAGGGACTGTATTAGAAAGGCACAATGTCAAAATTAAGGAAAGGTAAGAGTATCAGCCACGGACAGGAGTGCAGGGGCGCATGACAGAACTTGAGGGCCACTAACTAGACAAGCTGGTTTCTGTCTTATGGCTCCTCTGTAACTGCTCTCAATCTTTTCACAAAAGGACCTGACCTGTTCTCGGCTTTTCAGCATGTCTTATACCCCGTCATCCTGTCTTTCTTGACTCTTATCTTTTGAGGAGAAAACAAAAAGCACCTCTGCACCACCTAGCACTGTGATCGCCTTCTTCAAGCACAACAGGACTCGTTCTTTCTTCTTTAGCCCTGTTATTCCATGGTGTTGTGTGTTCCCTAAAAGCTCATGTGTCAAAGGTGTGGTCCCCGGGTGGCACTGTTGGGAAGTACTAGACCCTTCGAAGGAGGATTTAGGTCATTGGGAGTATCCCTAAAGGGACTGTGGGACCTTGATTCTCCGTCTCTGATCCTAGGCTGGCAGCACTCTTGCTGTGCCATGTGCTGCTGCCATAATTTGCTGCTTTGTCACAGGTCCAGAATGGGCCAGTCAGTCATGACCACAGTCTGTGCCAGAATAAAGCTTTTATCTTCATAAGTTAATTATCTCAGGCATTCTGTTACAGTGACATAAAGCTAACACAAGCCTCTTCCAAATTCTCACAACTTAACCAATCTTACCTGCTTTGGGATGCTAAACAAATTACTCTGAGAAGTGTAATCTAAGGACCTCGGGTGGAAGATACACCACCAAAGAGATGAGCCACTTGATGACAGACATTTAAGAGTAAGGCTAGGCAATGAGATGGCCATTAGCTTGCTGCTGGTAAGGGTGCAAAAACAGTTTAGGTTGCCCGTCAGTGGTGGGGGATGTTCAGCATTTCTGAGGAAATGTAAGGAAAGGAATTTTGTATCTTCCTGCTCTAACTCTTTTCATGGATGCTTTCATACACACAAAAACCCTTAAATGCCTGGCATGGTGGTTCATGCCTGTAATCCTAGCATTTGGGAGGCTGAGGCTGGAGGGTTGCTGTGAGTTCGAGGCCAACCTGGGCTACACAGCTTAAGATCAGCTTGAACTACATAGTGAAAGCCTGCCCCTCCACCCCCAACCCAAAATGCTGTGGAAACCAAAAGACCCAGAACTTTCAACAGAAAATGCATAGTTCTAGAGGCAAATGTAATCAGACCATCACTATGCAGACTATGAAGAGCTGGACCTGAGGGATCTGTTCAAAGCCCTCTGGAATCACAAAAATGAGGTGGAGTTTGGGCTTGTCCAGCAAGATGTAGGCTAAGATAGTCCTGGCCCGAACATACAGAATGGCCAGGCATGGTAGTACATGCCTGTAATCCCAGCACTTGGGAGGCTGAGGCAGGATGACTGTTTTAAATTTGAGACCAACCTGGATTACAAAGTGAGCTCAAGGACAGCCTAAACTGCATAATAAGATCCTGTTTCCAGTAGTTAAGGGGACTGAATTCAGTGCCTTCACACTGAGCTCACTCCCATCCTCTGCTTCCAAATTTTGAGATGGGGTGATACATTTTTAATGGTGCCAGATTAAAGAGCAAGTATTTCACTTGTAGCACTGATTTGGTGCAATACTATGTATTTTCCTCATGCGATCACATGATTCGTTATTTAACTTTTTCGGTTTTCTTTTTGTTTTTTTGAGACAGGGTCTTGCTATGTAGTTAGGGCTGGCCTTGAATTCACAGTGATTCTCTTGCTTCATCCTCCTGAATACTGAAATTACAAGCAGGTGCCATGACACCTGGCCCAGTTACTAGTAATTTATGTGTAGTTTACATTAGGTTTTTAAAAATGAGTGCTACAGTGGGGTTGACTTAGAAGAACCTTCAAATTTGGGGACTGAACCTTGCTCTGCCTGAGCTCTGGATTGCTTAAGTAACTTTCCAGTAGGGGGTACCAAAGCAGTCACTCCACTGGGCTTCTGTTCCTGGGCAAGCCTTAAGTGACCTTTCCTGTCGCCACTTCTGCTTTGGGACAGTTGGTTTCTCCAAGGATTTTTTGGTTTTTCTTTGATTAGTAGTTAATTGTTTTTTTTTCCCTTTTTGAGACAGGGTTTCTCTATGTAGCCCAGGCTGGCCTTGAACACACAGTGATCCTCCTGCCTTGGCCTCCCAAGTGCTGTGGTTATAGGCATGTACCACCATGCCCAGCTAATAGTTAATTAATTCTTAACTCAGCTAGGTGATTACTTATTGCACTATGGTTTTCATTACTGGTCCTCCTTTGACATTTTTCATCTTTTAACTAAGGCTTTCAGGTTCAAAGTCGGATTTTTTTTGATGGTGCTGGATGTTGAAGAGCTGTATCTGTAGCCCTATTTTATTTTGACACTACATCTTGCTAAGTCATCCAGAGTAGGCTCAATCTTGAGATCCTATAATCCCAGATTGGGATTATAGGAATGTGCCAAGATCAGCATGAGTTTCCTCTTGGAAGACATCTTTATCTTTTTATTTCTTCTGCTCAGTAAACCATCATTAGTGACTAATTTTGTTCTCTTGTACTTTATTCCAGGAGGGGCAGTGTGCAAACTATTGTGGCATCAGTATGGAAGAGTACTGTGATTTGAGCTGGCCCACAGTGTGTGTGTGTGTGTGTGTGTGTGTGTGTGTGTGTGTGTCTGAGCTCAGAACTTGCCAAGCAGCTGGTCACTGTGGTTACTGTTTGTCACTTTTATATTAACTAAGCAGAGCAAGCTGGTTACCAGCAGACAGACAGAGACTCTTGGTGTCAGTGACACTGTACCTACCACAAGAATCCTAATTCCACCCTGTCTCCATGCCACAGGAAAAGGACAGATCTATGCACAGTAAATCTGAACACTCAGATTTAAGAATTGTCATGAGATTCCTTATTTTTAAACTTTGAGACATGGTTTATATAAAATGCACCCATTCTAAGTATAAAATTTAAAGAATTTTGACAAACATACCCATGTAACTATTGCCACAAAAAGTTCCTGTAGCCCTTTGCAGTCTACTTCCTAGCAACCCCCAAGTCTTAGGGAATCAGATACACTTTCTTTAGATTGTCTAGACTGTCTCACAAATCCAGCAGCATATTGCATCGTTTGGCATCTTGCTCTTCCTCGGCATCATGATTTGGAGATTAACTCATGCTGCTTGCATGGGTCAGTACTTGCTTTTATTGTGGAATGGATTAACTAGGTTTTTTGTTGTTATTGTTGTTTTTTATTCACTTAGGAATGGCCATTTGGTTGATTCCAGTTTTTGACTATTTAGGAATAAAGTTACAAATATTTGTGTACCAATTGTATAAGGCAGTATGTTTTCATTTCTCGTGGGTGATACCTAGGGATGGAATTGATAGGCTGTCTGGTAAGAAGATTACAGTTAACTTTAAGAGAAAATGCCAAGTGTCTTCCAACATATTACACCACCTTCTTCAGGGCTTTCTGCACAGGTCTAGGGCTCTGGACCTGTGGTCAATGCTTGATTCTTTCAGCTGATTTTTTAGCTTTTATGTTAATAAAAACCTTCTCAAAGAGGAGCTCAATCTCAGACTGGCTTCATACCCAGAAGACAGGGTACATCAGGAGAAAAGGGAGGGCATGGATAGATACTCCTCCCAACTTTTTGTGGTACCATGGGTTGAACTCAAGGAGTGCTGAGCTAAATTCCTGTTTAAACTTTATAAAATTTATTTTGTTGTATTGTGATTGAAATGAGGGCCTCTGCACTGAGCTACATTCCCAACCTTAAAAAGTAATTTTTATTTTTTATTTTTTTATTTTTTTGAGGGAAGGTCTTGCCAGGCATAAACTTGTGCTCCTCTTTGCCTTGACCTGGAATTGCAGGCAGTGCCAGCAAAGAGACCTCTTCGTTTCTATGGTCATTCCCCACGTGTCTACCTCCATCACCCCACCTTCAGGATGTGGCTCCCGAGTCTCTTCAGCTTTGCTGCCACCCTTCTAAATGCCTGTCAGTATCTTTTTTTGGGGGGGGTGATACTTAGGATCGAGCCCAGGGCCTCCCCCATGCTAGCAAGTGCTCTACCACTGAGCCCATCTTCAGCCCCGGCTGAAAGTCTTGTAGCCTGCCTGAAATTCGTCCGTACTTCCCTCCCAGACTTCTCTTTTGCCACCTTCCCCCTGCCACCTGCAGACAAACAGAGTCCTGTTTTGTCCTCTCCTTGACTTCCGTTTATCAATCACTTCATTCATGTTGCAAGATTCCTTCTGCAATTCATTCTACCTTCACAATCAGGACCCCATGAACTTTTGTTTGAAACTTTATGTGAACTTCTTAATGATCTGTTAGGTCTCAGTGCTCACAAATGTTCACTAGTCTTTGAAACGAGTATCAGAAGATCCCTTCACATAAAAAGCTGAAAAGCAATTATATGAGGGTGAGAGAAGGCGACCTTGAAAGAGATCTGAATAGAAGTTTCTCTGACAGTTAAGCATATTCGCTTAATTTAAAATTTCACAGTCATACAAACAGTATGCAATGCCTTTTTTCCCCTCTTAACAGTAGCACAGAATTCATACCTTAACTCTTCGTGTAATGCTGAGGAATTGACAAGTTTTATCATAAAGTTCTTCCAGGTTTTCTCGGTCCCAGTAGAAATCAGGAGTTATCAAGAAGTCTGAGCTCAAGTTTATACGGTGTCTTTAAAAAAAGAAAGGGGCAAATAAAATGTTTTCATTAATTTTAAACTAAAAATCATTGTTTCTATGTTTCATGTTCATGTGGTGCTACATGAAAGTATTCTTAAATGCTGACTTTTGCAAAAGTACTTATGACAAATATGTAAATGAAAATCTGCAAACCAATTTCAAATTTCTTTAAGACACATGTGTAAACATTGCATTGCCTCATTAGTGTGGGAAGCTGAAAGAAACAACATGTATATGTGTGTTAAATGTATATAAAAAGTTAAGACAGGTATACTAGTGATTTTTCTGAGTTCACTGAAGAGAAAGATTTGTGCTGATATTGTTCGGACAATTAAATGCAGATGTCTTGTGTTCTAAGTGAATGATTTGGGGATGATAATGCACAGTCTATGTACCATTGTTTCCCCAACTGGCATGTTTTGAAAATTTGTCTCTTTTTCTCCTTGAAATAAAATGGATTTGGAAAAAAATTTTTCAAATTTCTCAACTAAATTAATTCCGTCTCTAATAACAATATTTATGGGTTGAAGGGAGGGGAAAAGATGGGAAAAAAAAGAACCAAAATATATCATGTACAGGTACAAATTCCCTATGATGAATGTTATCATTATGTATACCTAAAATACACTGATAAGACTTTAAAGAATATTTATGGGGCTGGGTGTGGTGAAGCACACCTGTAATCCCAGCACTCAGGAGGCTGAGGCAGGAGGAATGTTGCAGGTTTGAGACCCGTGTAGGCTACAAAGTGAGCTCAAAGCCAGCCTGAACTGCATAGTGAGACCCTGTCTCAAAAAGACAGTGAATAAATAAATAAAAGTTTATAAAATGGAAAAGGAAAGTTTTGTTTTCTATTTCTTTTAAGAGGTGTCACTATAGATAAAGACATGATTTTGGGGGGGGCGGGGTAGGGGACATGACACAAGAACCAGAAAGACGAAGTAAAAATTATTAATCTATTAGTCCTACCTTCTCCCTACTGGTAGCCACAAATAAGTTCCCTTTGTATCCTTCCACTCAAACCCTGAACAAGCAAACATACACACTCTCTCTTAATTTCTTTCTTTTTTAATTTCTGTCTATGTAAGAGGTCTAAGATTACTTTAAAAATTTTTAATTAAATAGCCAGGTGTGACAGCACACACCTATAATCTCAGAAATCTGGGAGCGGCAGACGGAGGATTGCAAGTTCTGCCCAGGCGGAGCCATATAGGAAAAACTGTTTCAAAATAAAAGTTAAAAAAGTGAGGAGGAAAAGGAAATTTAAACTGTAGAAGTTACACATAAATAGCATTAACTAGAAGGAAATGGAGAACTCCCTAAAACAGCAGTAGGCCTTCTTAACCCACCACACCAGTCAAATCCTTTGTTCTTCCCAAGGGTAGCGCCTTCCAGCACTGATGTGGCCTTCCAGGTCTTTCCACATGGATTATGCAGGTGTACGCACATACCTATGTGTGCATATGTGTATATACAGATAAATAGGTATATATTTTTTTAACTAGGGATTTCTCTTATACAAGTGGGATTATGCTACATGTCATTTGACTTGATTTTTCATCTAGTATACCTTGCTGTGTTTCTTTGTACACATTCATCATACTCCTTTGAATAGCACAAGTACTTTTACTGTAAAGATAAGAAAACCGCGTACAAAAGTCAGGCTTCTTAGAAACGTCATGAATCCAAGTATATTTAGTCTGAACTTTTTAAGTTTTGTTTTTTTATTTTTTTGGTACTGGGGATCAAACTCATGACCTTGTGCTTGCCAGGCAGGCGCTTATGCCGCTGAGCTAAATAAATCCCCAAACTTTTAAGTTTTAATATTATATTTGCTTTATTGGATTCTGCTAGTATTAGCAAGAGAATAAGAGTGCAGACTCCAATGCGTTGGAGATCACAGGCTTTGGGATCTGCTGTGCTGTGCTGTGCCATGCCGCGCTAGTAGGAGATCCAAATCGGGCCCTCACCGCAAGAAGTGCACAGGAGAGACCCGGAGAGATCCAGGGAGACGCGGAGGGGTGGCTCCTAGTCCTCTGGCTCTCATTCCCCACCGGAAGGGGAAGAAGTGGGCAGTGCTACGCAGTGAGAGCAATGATGATGCTCGTAAATTTGGGGGAAATGACAGGAATATACTGAAAATCTTCCAGGCATTCATCTGGAATAAAGCATTCCTGTATTTTATCAATTTTAAGACACAATTCTTTGCATTTAACATCCAAAAATGGGAGTGCCTTAAAACTGATGGTGTGTTACATGTGACAATTGTGACTTGTTGCCACGACCTTAAATAGTTTATTTTTTGATTCCTTTTTACGTACGCTCAAATGGGAATGCAACAGAGTCTATATTCAAATAAGACTAAGGGCCATTTCAGTAAGAGTAAGATTTAAATTCTGTGATAAAGCATCATCATAATCCTTGCCTATGGCATTTTGCAGTATCCAGTTCAATGAACTGTGGTACATAACTTTATAGTAAATCTGTTGAGCATTATAATGCAGTGTTAGTATTTTTACTGGGAATTCCTCTTGGGCACATTCTAGAATATACCTTCCTACCTGAACATCTGCTGTGCTCCCTGACATGGGTTTAACGTGGACTAATTATGATCTTTCTTGCACATGTTGAATTTCCTCCAGTATAGTCCTACTACAGCCTATCTGCTTCTCTTGAGTTCTGCCTGTTTATAATTAATGAAATGAGAGTAGTTACTCTTTGATTTTTGAGAGAGGCTCTTGCTGTGTAGTATAAGCTAGCCTTGAACTCAGCAATCATCTTGCCTCCCAACTGCTGGGATTACAGGTATGTACCCCACACTGGGCCTAAATGTTTACCATGGAACTATAGCTGCGATTGCTTGAGACTTAAATGTATGAAATATTTTATTTATAAGAGAAAATTTTACCTTAGGGCAAAGAGTTCACCCATTTTCTGCATAACTTCTTTATGAGATAATTTCACTTTCTTCCCAGCTTTTAAAGCCTATTTGGGAGAGAACAAAACCACATGCAGTTGGCCCTCAGTACCTGTGAGTTCTGCGTCTATTGATTCGACTAATCACAGCTAGAAAATATCTAAAAAGCACTGCACCTGTACTGAACATGCACAGACTATTCTCCCTTGTCCTTATTGCCTAAAGATGACAGTGTAACAACTATTTATGCAGCATTTACAGGGCTGGGAGTGTAACTCATTGTACAGCACTTGCCTGTCAAGTTTGAGGCCCTCAGTTTGATCCCAAGCACTGCAAACAAACAAAACAAAGTAACAAAATACTACAGAAAACTACTGTACACCATATCTACATTGTATTAAGTATTATGAGTACTGCCCAGCAGACTGAAGGTATACGAGAGGATGTGCATGGGTTACAGTGAGCATCACAGGCTTTGGAATTGTGGGGGCAGGAGGAGTTCAGGGTCCAGCAGCCGATGTCCTATGCATACTGAGGGGTGATTGCATATATACCTATATACCTCTCTTTCCAATAAGAACTGGGCCCATCAAATTCTGAAAGGGCATAATTCTAGTATCATGTAAATAACCTAGATGATGGTCTCCCCTGTGCATATCTTAACTCACTCTGAGACTTCAGGCTCCTACTCAGTTTTTTTCATTTCCTTTTGCAATAGTTTGGACCCTGAGTGTCCCCAGAAGGGCCAGGCTTGTTCACACTCTGGAAGTGTTGCTTACATCAGGCCTTGGGAGGGAATTGGGTCAGGGGTGGGTGGGCTCCTGCAGGGTGTAGGGGGTCCCTGCAGCTCCTTCTTCATTTTGTGGCCTCACTGCCATAAACATGTGCTCTCTGCCTGACCAGGAACTCAAACTCCAAACTGTATGCTGAAACAAATGATGCTCCCCCAAATAAGCAGATTAGATGGGGGGGATATTTAGTCACAGTAACACAGCTAATATACCCCTCTCATCAACACTGCCTATGACACACACTTCTAATCTGTTACTGAAAAAGCAGGGTCTCTCTTCTCCTAAAAATAATTAACTACATTATTCTGTCACAGTAAAAACAAAATTAGTTATAGTAAACATGATCTTTAATATACTTTGAAATTTCAATATAACCTTACTTATAATTTTATATAAATATATATATATAACTAAATATATACATCTTTATGCTAATATTATTCAAATTTAGAAAATTCTTTTTTTGAGGGAACTAGGGATTGAACCCAGCACCTTCATAATGAGCTATATACCCACCTCCTTTTAAATTTTGAAACAGGGTCTTGCTACGTCACTAAGTTGACCACACTGGGCTTGAGTTTATGATCCTTCTACCTCAGCATCCCAGTGCTGGCATTATAGGTGTGTGCTCCCCTGGCTTTTTATCATGAAAAAGTGGAGGCAACTGCTTTCTTTACAAAGCAGAGATTTCACTGTTTTTCTTTTCATTTATGTTACTATTATGCCATATAGGAAAATAATGTAGCATTTAAAAAGATCATTATGAGATTTCCTTTCATTATGTGTAATTAGAAGTTTTTTTCTTAAATTTCATCTGGCTTTCCTAGTACTTATTACTTTATTATACTCATTCATATATTTTTACATTGAGAAATTTGTATTTTTCCAAAGTAGAAATCAACCCTTGAAAACAAGCATAAAACTAAAATAATTACCTCTGGAATTGACTGAATAGACTCAATAAATTTATCCAATGTTGCTTCCCAAATAGCTAGTTTCACTGAAGAAAAAAAAAGTTAAAATGGAACATTTAGCATCATAAACATGTTTATACAAATGTGAAAATGCACAGTACTTCTGCTGCGATTTCAGCAATACTTTACGGAGCAAATGTGATTAAACTGTGAAACTAGAACTCTAGAAACCAGAATAGTTAATTACGATAAAGGACAGCATTGATGAGGGAAACGAAAGGAAACTGGCATTTCTAAGCCCTGTTGGTGTATCCAAGGGAACAGATCTGATTTTAAAGGTGCATCTCAGGGTGCACCGCTGCCTTGGGGGGCAGGTGTGCTCTTTGGGGCTGGGAGCTGGGGTGGGGTATAAGGCCCCCAGCCTTCCACTCAACAGGACTCCAGAGGAGTGCGGGACATCTGTCTCCAGCATGACGCAGACTTGTGGCAAAGACAGGGAGCTTGGACTGTTTTATCGGGGGCATGGCTCTTTCAGGAAAAGCCAAAAAGCTGCTTTGACTTTATCCCATTCCTGCGAACACAAGAGTGTGGTCTCCACACCGAGGGCCGGGCTGCATCTGAACTGAGACCGTGAGTGTGTAACAGTCACACAGAAAGAAGGGGAGAGGCACACAAAGACCTTGGCAATAGTACAGAAACACCTTTGAACACAGTGAATGCAGAATGAGTATCTACGGCAGATTGCATGTTCTACACCATCTAGTGTACATACGCTTTGTTGAAAACATGCTAAAATCTTCCAACAAATACTTAAAACTTCCATGGTAAGATGAAAACTAATACCTTCTCCAGAAAGTAGAAATAACTTACCAGAAAGGCAAAGAGCATTGGAGAAAGCAAATTTCTCTAGAATGGCATCATCTAACTCCAGTTCTGAATTTAACTTGATTTCCCCTCTGTGAAGTTTAGACTGTCCTCTGTGAAAAAAAAAAAAAAAATGCTCTAAATCTCTAAAATCCTTTTTTAAAATTTAAATTTATTTATTTATTTATTTGCCACGTAGCCCATACTGGCCTTGAATTCAGTGCGATCCTCTGGCCTCAGCCCCCCAGACAGCTGGGATTGCAGGTGTGTACCAGGATGCCTGACATTTGTAAAAGTACTTTAAATTTCTCTTTTGGAAAAATAAGCCTGATAATCTTTCCAGAGGTCATTTTGACTATATCAAGAGTTGTATAAATTTTCTCATACTCTTTGATAGAACTAATTCAATTTCTAGAAATTTATCCCATAGAAGTTAAAGACGTAGAGAACAATTTGTGCAAGAAGGTGATGCATGCCTGTAACATCAGCATTCAGGAGGCTGAGGAAGGAGGATCGCTGCAAGTTCAAAGCCAGCCTTGGATACAGTGAGTTCAAGGTCAGCCTGAACTGCATAGCATGATACTGTCTCAAAAAACAAAAACAAAACAAAACAAAATTTATGTACAGAAAGCTTTTTATGGTGAATCGTTTAATGAAAAAAAATTAGAAAAGCAACTAAGTATCCAATAGAAGAATGGTTCAATGTTAGAATTTCACAGAACAAATATGAGAAACAAGAAAGCACAAGGAGCTGGCAATGGTGGCACATGTCTGTAATCCCAGCAGATGAGAGGTTGAAGCAGGAGGATCACTGTTAGTTCAAGGTTACAGAAGTGAGTTCAAGGCCAGCCTACACTATAGTGAGACCCTGTCTCAGAAAAAGTAAAAAAAAAAAAAAAAAAAGCAAAAAAACCCAAAGCCTCCAAACAAATAAAAAAAGAAAATGTAAACTTTCAATTTTGGGGCTATACTATCTATTTTGTGGCTACCCTGAAAGGTTAAAAGCTACCTGTTTCCTCTAATGTTTATTGTATGTCACAGCCCTCTTATTATTTATTCATTTAGTCTTGCTATGCAGTTCAGGCTGGCCTTGCACTCACTTTGTAGCCTGGCTTGAACTTGCAATGATCCTCCTGCCTCAGCTTCCCGAGTGCGGGGATTACAGGTATGCGCCAACATGCCTAGCTCACAGCCTTTTTATTTGTAGCAATAACTTTTTTCTTAAAATTAGTCCCCATATTCATAAGCAGTTTATTTCTTCTACTGCTTTACCTAGTTTTTTCCAAGTATCCTTTTCATAATCTGATAAAAAGTCACTTACTCTATTTTCATGTAGTTAAGCTCTTCGTTTTCCCAATGCACCAATGCAATTTCATATGGCTGAATTTCATGTTTCTCTAGAATCTGCATCACATGCTTCATCTGAAAAAAAAGGAACAGTCATCTGAAATTAAGACCAACCTCCTCAGTACAAGCACATTATAGAGCTGATGCATATAACATTTTTCATTACATTTAATGGTGTATTTTCTGTTGCTTAGTTTTCAGGAAAAGGCAAACTCATGATAATATTAAACTAATCAGAGCCAGGCATGGTGGCACATGCCTGTAATTCCAGCACTCAAGAGGCTGAGGCAGGAGGATAGTTGCAAGTTTTGAGACTAGCCTGGGCTACAAAGTGAGCTCAAGTCCAACCTGAACTTCATAGAGAGACCCTGTCTTTTTTTTTTTTTTTTTTTTGTCTTTTTTCGTTTTTATCGGTACCAGGGATCGAACTCACAACTGCCTGCTTGCAAGGCAGGCGCTTATGCCGCTGAGCTAAATCCCCAGCCCCAGAGAGAGCCTGTCTTAAAAAAACAAAATAACTAACAATCAACCAAACTAATTAGGACGACACGTCCATTTGTTTTTGCATGTGGAAAACACAGATGAGCATAAGAAAATAACCCAAAGAAAATTAGTAGTAACATGGTTTGTGTTCATTAAATCTCTAAAAAAATGTAGAGGCAAATACTTATAAAGCCCTAAATAACATAAAACTATACAAAAATGACTTTTTCTCTGCTTACCTGAAATCCTAATGCTCAGAGATAATAGTGACCAAACTTGGCACGTACCTTCTACTCTGCTCTAGGAGTACCTGTGTGTACTTGCTTTTTATGAGGTAGGATCACGCTACACATATGAACATTTTCAGAGCTATTCCTAGTGAAGCAGCTGCATTTACCTAGCCATGTTAAATGTCCACCCCAATGAATGATATCTGCTCAATGCATCATCTTCATGCATGTATCTTCAGGTCTTGTGAGCATATTTTTTTAGGAGCTGTTAACTTAAAGGTAGGTGGGATGGGGGTATAGCTCAAAGGTACAGTGCTCATCTAGCTTGCACGAGGCCTTGGGTTTGAGCCCCTGCATTGAAGAATAACAAAAGAATAGAAAAGACGTGCATGCTTATAATTTTGACATATATTGCCAAACTGCTCTCCAAAATAATTTTTCTAATCTTAACACTCAGACATTTATGACAGCAATCATAGAAACTGTAGGATAAAAAGAGTATGTTGGTACAAGCCTGTAATTCTAGCACATTAAGTGGGTGAGGAAGGAGGATTACAAACTTGAGCCAGCCTGGGAAACTTAAGTGACTCAGTGTCTCAAAAAAAAAAAAAAAGTAACAAAAGGGCTGGTAGTCCAGTGTGGTGGTACACACCTGTAATTCTAGCACTTGGGAGGCTGAGGCAGGGTTGCTGTGAGTTCAACACCCTGTCTCAAAAAAAAAAAAAAAGCTAGAGATGTAGCTCAGTGTGAAGGGCCTGGGTTCAATCCCCAGCACTACAAAACAGAACAAAACCATAAACCCCACAGGGCATTTTTAGCCTTTCACATCTTCGCAACTTTAGATAGACAATGTGCATCTTCTTATATGTACTGGTCATTTGTATTTCCTTTTCCCCATAATTCCTTACTGTATGCATATGGATTTCTTTTGAGTAAAACTGGAATTGTATGATGCACACTTTTTAACCAGCTCTGATATTAAAGTTCTTCTATTTTATAATCTTCTATTTTATAATCTGCATCACATCCATAAGTAACTTCCCAGGAATATTTTCCACATGATTTTTAAGAACTATGGTGTATTTTACTCTGTGAATATATTTAATAAACTTTACATCACTGTGTATTTTAGTGATTTCTAATGTTTCTTAGTGTAAAAATTGCTTTGATGAACATTTCTGTAAATAATTTACCATGGATAACTGTAGGTCCTTTGGATAACTCTTGTTTTTGAGACAGGACCTTAACTATGTAGCCCAGGCTGGCCTTGAACTCATGGCAATCCTCCTGCCTCAGCCTCCCAAATTCTGGGATTACAGGTGTGCACCACCATACTCAGCTACTGGGACAGCTTTCTGCTACTGGGACAGCTTTCTAAGTGTAAAACTGCTGGGTTAAATATAAAGCTTTGATGTAATTACCAAACTACCTCTAAAATGGGTGTATTACAAATCCTGATTTGGATATTAAAGAATATTTTCTGTAAGTGGTATGTTCTAGAAAATTTGATCTAGAATAAGCTTCCGATAGACTGTATAAATGTTATTCATTCTGTACATTATAATATGCAAACATAACTCTTTGTTTCTGCAGTGTTGTCAGGATGGTTTGGGTTCTTTACAAATCAGTGTGCATCTAGAACGTTGAAAACACAGAACAAGTTTTAAAAAGCCAAAAAAACATTTTAGAAGATGAAACTGATAGACTATAACATAATGCATAGCAGAAAACATTAACTTATCTTCCAATATCTCAACTAGAGTGCTAGTTAACAATTTATCTTAGAAAACCACATTTTATTACTTTTACACTTTATTTATACTTACAGTTTTGTCTTTCACATTCCAAAACACAGTAGCTCCTTCCCTGATTTAAAAGAGTAAGAGTCAAATGAATGCATTCTTTAGGGTCACATATACAGTTACGTTTAGATAACATCTAGAATAAATATGATCCATTGACTCATCAGGTAATTTGATGGACCTCTAAAATAAGAGCCACTGTTTGATTCTTGCTAAAACCTGATTTCTCAGAACTCCATGGCTTCTCAAAGGAATTACAGAGTAGGTAGCTATTACTGTGACACTATATAACTTCATGTTATCTGCGTGCATCTATGTCTGGTTGAATTCTGATGCATGAAAATCAAAAATGAGGGAAATTTTTTGTGTGGTTGGTGCTGAGGATTAAACCCAGGGCCTTAGACAGGCTACTAGGTAGTGTTTTACCAATGAGCTACATCATTAACCAATAATTAGGAAAAGTTTTGAGAATCCCATGTTAGGTATCAGACAGACTGTGCTATGGGAAAGAATAAAGGATCTGTTTTGTTTGTTTGTTTGTTTGTTTTTTGTCTTTTTTTGAGACAGGGTCTTACTATGTAGTTCAGGATGGTCTCAAACTCACAGCGCAGGATCATGTTTTTAACTGTTATAGAATAAAGCAAACAGCCCCTACAGTATAAAGCTTCCTTCTGCAGAGTGCTTAGAACAGCTATAATTAAGCCATGGGAAGCCGTCTGAATCAATCCTGACTTTGACAGAATTTAAAATCTAAATACTATAAATCAACTTGGTTTGATTTATCTTCATCTCTGAAGTTTGACACGTTGAGCTGTTTTAGGTAATAAATTACGGGGAGTTGTGTCCTGGGTTATTTTGCTAGAGGAGGGAAGGGTAAACAGGATTCCAAGCCTGTATGCCTGTATCATTTTTTCTACATTTCTTGAAGTGCTTAGTAGGTATGTGGGTCTGTGTTTACTTCAGCATTAGGGATAAGAGGAGTATGAGCTGGTTTCTACCCTCCAAGAGCTCCAATGTGGAAAGACAGACACCCAGACCACTAATTATTTACAAGACAGAGTGACTGCACACGAAGTATCTGCCAAGCGCAGGAGGGGAGTGGGAGGCCCAGCAGAGCCTCACAGCTCCTGAAGGAGTGGCCGAGCCAGTCAGGTGAGGAAATGAGAGAATGAAGCAGAAGGATTTGTGCAGGCCTGAGGAGAAGAAGAAAGGGGCAGGGCAGTGTCTCAGAACCAACAGCTGCTACTTGCAAGGCTACAGATGTGCTAACCTTGTGAGCACTCAGGTTAAAGACACAGGGAGATGGGTGTGGTGGTACATATCTGTGAATCCCAGTCCCTGGGAGGCCAAGGCAGACTTGACTGCAAGTTTGGGGCCAACCTGTATAAATCAGCAATTTAGTAAAATCTTGTCTCAAAGAGAGGGTTGGGAGCCTTTGGTTGTAGTTCAGTATGAGGGTTCTGAGTTCGAGCCTTAGCACAGCGGTGGGGGAGCAGGAACACTGTGCTAAGGTAGCCTTGGTTGGAGTCCACAGAATTCTAATCCTGATCGCAGCTGCCTACTGAAGAATGACCCTGTGACAACTGCGTCAAAAAAACTGGTGGAAGGAGGGGGGGGGCAGGCTGGAGGAACCCATTAAGTGCACTAGAGTGACAGGTCAGGAGAGGGCCTCAGGATGTGGCTTTGAAGGTACTCATTTCAATCACTCTGAGGCGAAAGCGAGCCCATGAATCTTGCACCCCCCCCCACTTAGTGCCATGCTGGGCACAGTGGTGCTCAGAACTGCCAGGCCAATACAGATGTGCTGCATGTGTGCAATTCAAAGTGGATTTCAAAACTAGGATGCACGGGAGAATGAAAAGGCTCACTATTGATTATATGCTGAATTGATGAAATTTTGGGTTAGATAAAACACACTGAATTCAACTTCAGGCTGCATGATATTATTATTCATATAATTCAAGGCTGGCTTCATCTTTTTTATTTTTAAGAATGTGATGACTATCATCATATAAGAAGCTTATATCATATTTCTATTAGACAGCTAAAGTCCTCAAAAATCCTGACTACTGCTGGAGATTTAGCTCAGTGGCATAAGTGCCTGCCTGGCAAGCACGAGGTTGTGAGTTCAAGTCTTAATTTAAAAAAAAAAAACAAAAAACCTACCTACTCACTTGAGGCAGAGGGCAGTATTCTAACTGGGTTAAGTGTCACAAACTTGATTTTATTTAAAGTTAGGACCAAAGAGAAGGTGGGCATCCACAGTAACACAGACAGAGCTTTCAGTTTACATCAGTTATAAGAACTAAGGCATTATGTTGTGAGGTTGGTCCTGAACTCAAGTGAAGCCCTGCCTTAGCTCCCATACAGAACTGCAGGCATCTGTCACTGTGCTGGGCTTTAAGTCCGGATTCCCATGGATGGTCCATGTGTTTCTGTTCTGTCACGTAGAAGCATTAGTCCCACAGCCACGGATGCAACATGGAAACAGCAGAGGTTCCCTGAGTGTGGTGAGGACAGCAGGAGATTGTCTCCCACGGTGCCTGTTACCACTGTCACTCCCAGGCAGCTACTCTGCTGTGGTTGGTATTGCCACGATCTTCAAATAAACAGTCTGAACTGAGTGAGCCAGGGTTCCAGTACCCAATCTCCAGGGGGCAGGGTGGGCTGGAACTCTAGCTGAAATCTACACAAGGGAAGGAAGAAGAGCAAGAAAGGAGGTGGGCCCGTGCCAGGTGCCCAGAGGGGCCCAGAGAGTAGGAAGCTCAGTCCATGAGTCTATATTTACCAGTGGAGATAAACCAAGGGAAAACTACTGTGTTAACTTTAAAAATATCTTAAAAATTTGGTTACAGAATTTATCACACAACCCCTAAACCTCTAAGAATTAGATGAACATGTAACTCAGACTATGAATACTCTGACCACACAGACTGGAAGGTGCTCTTACACCAAGAGGCATAGTGACCTGGTGACAAACCCTCCTCCAAACTGGTTTTGTTTCCCATCTCACCTGAAGAAGAATATTGTTCCAGGATCACCTTCTTTTGCAGAAGTTTGCACACCCATCACCAAAGTATTTGCTGCATCTATGATTTAAAATAAATCAATAAAAAGCTAAAAGCTATGTCACAAGATGACATAAGATTCTAAGAATCATCTATAAACATTTGCACAAAATATTTATGGTTACTTTATATACCACAAAACACTTTATAATATAATCCCCAATTTTCTAGTATACTAGGGTACAAAGAGAGAGAAAGAGAATGAGAGAGAGAGAGAGACAGACAGAGAGAGAGAGAGAGAGAGAGAGAGAGAGAGAGACAGAGAAAATAAAAAAATAACAAATGACATTCCTCACAGGTCTGTTGTGACAATATTATGAGTACTATATAACACCATTATGACTATATGACACTATTATGTATATTAACTAGACTAGTGCCTACTGAATCAAAATGATTCAGTAGGCACTAGTCTAGTTAATAAATGTCACTGTTAGGTTCAACACAACTAAGGTTTTGGAATTAAACAACTTCCTATAAAACTGACATAAATTTGTGCTTTTTCATTGTAAACAACTTCACTAATAATATAATTTTAATATACCCAAACTGCTCTTTCTATTGAATTAAATAGTACTGCATAAAGTTGAGAACAAAAGAAAATATACAGAAACAGAGCTGTCAGCCAGGCATTGCAGTGCAGGCCTGTCTGTATTCCCAGGACTCAGGAGGCTGAAGCAGAAGGAATGCTGTGAGTTTGAGGCCAGTGTGGGCTACACAGTGAGCTCAAGGCCAGCCTGAACTACATGGTGAAACCCTGTCTCACAAAGAACAAACATATAAATAAATAAAAATAAGTAAGAGAAAAAATATGTTCTATCGTTTCAAAACATAAATTTTTTTGTCAGTACCAGGGATCAAACTCACGACCATGTGCTTGCAAGGCAGGCGCTTATGGCGCTGAGCTAAATCCCCAACCTCAATATTTTAAAATTTTAACTCTAAATATTATCAAGTGTACACCAATATATATTAATAAACAACTGTTTAACATTAGTATAGTAACATTTATTATATACATGTTCTATGATATAAATTATAAAGATATTAATGTATCAATTAACATATAATTATCAACTTGTAAAAAGTACAATTTCTTTTTTCACAGTACTGGGGATTCAACTCAGTGTGCGCGACCACTGAGCTCATTCTCATCTGTTTTTATTTTTCATACTGAGATGAGATCTTGCTAAGTCTCCCAGGCTGGCCTTGGGCCTTAATTCTCCTTTCTCAGCCTTGTGAGTACCTGGGGTTACAGGTATGCTGCCCTGCCTTGCTGTTCTTAATGTAACATCAGGGACCTCAAAGCCTCAGATGGAGACTGGCGGCTGGAGAGCTAGAGACCAAGTCCTAAACTACCTTATCAGGTACCTGACTTGCCTAAATACTATATCCTACACAGGAGAGTTTGTTTATCTGGCCAAAAGCAACAAAAATGTAATGGAAAAGACAAGTGGGGTACAAAGCGCTGAATATGATCCCCTGAACTGAAAACAAAATCAAAATGACTCCGGGCAATGAGCCCTGAACTCCGCAGTGCCCGGAGCCACATTCCTGTCAGCCTGCAATGCCCATGTGGTACCCCAAACAATACTGATTTGGGGGCTCTGGAAACAGCTGTTTTCCTAACAGCTGTCAAGTGGCACAGACTGTTCAGATCATCAAGGCCAAAAAAGCACAAGGACACCTCGACTGCTTGTGGGGTCAATGAGTCTTTATAGAGAATTTTCTCTAGCAGGGAGGTTTACATCTTGCTATTTTTACTACTCTAAGGTAAACTGATAAGTTTTTTGGATGTTTAGCTATCGTGAGATTCACGGTAAAATTTTCTTTCACTGAATATTACAGGTCATTTATTAATGTAAAGTAGCCTGATTTCTCAAGAATCCTTTCCTAATGTTAGCCTAAAATCCAGTTAAGTTGAATTTTCTTTTCTTACATTCATTATGTTCATCTTTTAAATAATTCAGTTAAAGTTCTAGGCTTATAAATTTCTTTTAAGAGGATCCTTGTATCTGTCAATTTCATGGTTGCATGACACTAAAACAACTTTTTAATGTGACAGAAAGGTAAGTTTTGGAGCTACAGTCTGGGTTAAGTGTGCTCCAAAGGCCCATCTGTTAATAAAAAGATTTGATCCCCAGCCCATGGCGTTGCTGGGAGGTAGTAGGACCATGGAGGTAGGGCCCAGGGGGAGGCAATGTCACTGGAGAAGTACGGGCTCCTCCTCTTCCTCTCTGCTTCCTAATTCTGCTCTGTGCTCTCACATGACTGCTGCCTTGCCACAGGCCCCAAAGGGATTTTGGACTAAACCCTTCCAACCGTGAGTCAAAATAAACCTTGCCTTGAGAAAACTGACTAGGGCTCACGATCCTTGATGTTCCCAAGTAATAGTGATTCTTTTATTTTGTTTTGTTTTTTGAGACAGGTCTCAAGTGTGTAGATAGGGCCAGCCTTGAATTCACTTTGTAGCCCAAGGCTGGCCTCAAACTCATGGCAATCCTGCCTCAGCCTCCTGAGTGCTGGGATTACAGGTGTGCACCACCGTATCCAACCTTAGCGATTCTTTAAAGATTAAACTACATTAATTTTAATCTGATAATGAAATTTTGTTTTGGTCTTTTTTGAGGCAGGGTTTCACTATATGATTCAGGCTGACCTCAAACTCACAGCAAGCCCCTGCCTCAGTCTCCTGATTGCTGGGATTACAGGCATGCACACCGCTGCACCTGGCTTGAGAACTAAATTCTATATACATACATTAACATTCTGTATAAATCATTTGTATACATTTGACACCTCAGGATACAATCAGCAGAAAAAGGAGATGCAAATAAATGCATACTTAGGACAACATTGCAGCAACACTATTTTCTAATACACTGCAATACACTTGGTGTAGGGGTCACGGAGAAGTACCTGTTGGCAAGCTTGTTACTTCCATATATCCGCAGGAGGTCAGGTCCTGAGAAAGATTTCCCAAATGGTACTCATCTGCCGTGGCGAATGCTGTGCAGTGCATCAGATTCTGTTTCAGGAATGGGCACAACAAGGGTCACCAAGAGGCTCAAACACCTGTGGTGCCGCCTGTGCCCCTTTAGGGGACCCCATACAGCAAAGCCAGCCCACAAGTTATCTTCAGATACCTTGGAATTTCTACAAGGGATGTGATAAGGATGAGGACGGGGAAGGTACAGGGAGACAGATTTCAGCTCTATCTAGCCAGAGCTGGACTGGCCTATCCTGAGGGAGGGCACACCCACCAGGAGTGCCTAAGCTGTGCGGACTGAACAGAGGCCGCCAGGAGGCCTGGATGAAGTGACTCATCTGCAACCCTGAATCTCTATCCTGAATCTCCACAAGGCTCACTGTAACATTCCTAGCTGAGGTCATCTGATAATTTGTTATCAGTCTTGCACAGGCAGAGATTCCTTAAAGTTCTCAAATGAATGACAGTGTCTGTACTTAGTTTAGAGTAAACAAGGTCTACAGATATTGAGAATGCACCCTGTTTGATGGGTGCTTGGTGCCGAGTCTCTGTGTGTCAGGTTGTGTCTGCAGGACCACATGGGGTGAGCAACACAGTTTTCCAACTGTGCTTTACAACCCATGCGTTTTGATATCAATTTTACTGGCCTAAACCATCTTTTTAAAAAGAAAAATTAAACAAATAAAATGGCAACATACAGTGTATTACTCATAGCAAGAGCAAATGTTATGTTTTTTCTCACACATACGTGTTTACATATGCACTTTGGATCATGATGTACATAAAATGTCAAATACATTTCTTATAAAAGATGTGGTCAAAATAAATCTGAAAGCTACTGCCCCAAGAGCTAAAGTTCAGACACAAAAAATGTGAAAAATTTAGAGTATCAGAAGAGCACTAATTCCTACTTTATAGACTTGTTTTAAAGCTTAAACAAGCTGATAAATATAAACTGCTCAGGATTGTTCAACAATTGGTCAAAAGAAGTTCATGAATCACTAAATCAACATTTGCTCTTTGGCTTTACAGATCTCAGCCCCCAGATTTTTTCTCACTCTGTATACATTCCCAGAATGGAATTCTGGAGCAGCAAGTGGTCTGGAAATTCCTTCCTGTTATCTAATTTTTGCTTTTAGTCAAAAAAGGACTAACCCTGCTTCGCCTTTCCTTGCTCTGGTACAGATTTTAACAAATGACTTTAAAAGCAGCAGAGAAGCTGGGTGTGGTGGTGTGTGTTTGTAATGCCAGTATTCAGGAGGTTGGTAAGAAGGATTGCCAACGCAGTGAGATTTAATAACAATAATAAAAAAAAAATTCCAAAAGCCAGGAGTGCAAAAAGAATGGCTCTTATCAAGAGATCAACCAATAACAAAATGCTGCTGGCGGTGTGGGCAGAAAGGAACCCTTCTCCATTGTTTTTTTTTTTTCTTTTTTCTTTTTCCTTTTTATCAGTACTGGGGATCGAACTCACGACTGCCTGCTTGCAAGGCGGGCGCCTATGCCGCTGAGCTAAACCTCCAGCCCCGCCTTCTCCATTGTTGGTGGGAGTATAGACTGGTACAACCACTGTGGAAATTAGTATGGAGATTCCTCAAAAAATTAACATTAGAGGGTCTAGTCCACAAGCTGTTCCACTTCTTGAAAGAATTAAAAGCATCATACCACAATGATATATACACAACCATGTTTATAGTGGCACAGGTTGTAATAGCTAAATCTTGGAAACAGCCCAAATGCCCATCAACTGATGAACGGATAACGATGTAGTTTTCTTAATACACTGGAGTACTGCTCTTCTATAAAGAGGGTAAATCTGAGGCATTTCTAGGTAAATGAATGCATTTTGAGACCATAGTCTTAAGTGAAATAAATGGGACACAGTTGTGTAAATACTGCATTGTTTCTGTTGTGAGAAATCAAAAATATAAATATAGATGGAATGTATAATAGATGTGGTGAATTAGGAAGGAAATGGGAAGGGAAACTTGGAGTTGAGAGGTGGAAAGGATGAAAGGAAAAGGGAAAAAATGAGAAAAGGAAAAAATGGGAACAAAAATTTTGTAAATAAGGAGAGGAAGAGGGGTTGAAGGGAGGGTAGGGGAATGGGAAAAAAAAGAATCAAGTTATATCATGTACAAGTACAAATTCTCCATGATGATGTGATCATTATGTATACCTAAAAGGTATAATAAACGTAATTAGAAGAACAAAGAGCTGGGAGTAGTGGCACAAATCTTGTAATCTCAGCATTTGAAAGGCTGAGGCAGGAGAATTGCTAAAAGTTGAAGGCCAGCCTAAACTACAATCCAAGACCTTTCTCAAAAAAAAAAAAAAAAAAAAAAAAAAAAAAAAAAAATGCTGCCAAGGGGCTGAGGAGGCGCATAAATGGAAACATACGAAATCAATAAAATACCCACTTAGAAGTACAGAGAGCACTTGTTTCGATTAGAAACAAGTCAGACAAACTGTAGTGGGGATTTTGGGCAGAGAGGGTTAGCATCTGCCATTTGAAGAGGCTCGCATGTGAGAGGCCTGAGAGACACACGCCTATGATCCAGAGGCAGGGGGCGGTAGTTGCTAGAGGACAGGAATCTAGGATGTGCTGAGCTCAGACCTGGAGTTATGAAGATCTCCCTGGACAGGAGCAGAGGCTAAGCTGGCCAAAGGACAGGAATCCTGTCAGGATGCATCAGGCAAGGGCACAGCAGGCAGGCTTCCATCAGTGACACGGGACACTCTCTTTATTGAAGTTTGCTGGGCAGAGTTAAGAATATTTGGGGGGTGGCAGGATGATGTGACTGCGCGAGCTGATACACTCACTTCAGATGCAAGTGGGATGAGCAGAGGCACAAAGAGAAGATGACAGGAAACAGGAAGGTGAACAATCAGCTTCATAGAGGATTGACCTGGAATTGCACTGAGCTCAGCATAGGCGTCTCTGGACTCCGGGGTTGCAAACCAACACAGAAGTTCAGAAAGGTGAGCTATCAACAGTCAACTCAGAAATGTCACACTGAATCCACACTGCCACCTTTGGACAAGTGGGAGATCTGGCTCTTAGGCACTAGGGAAGAGGTCCGGAGTGTCCAAGGATTGGACACGGTAACTCATTTAGTAACCTCTTCTTTTTTGTGGTACTAGGCATTGAATGTAGAGATTCTGAATCACTCAGGCTTTTGAAAGGACTGTTTTCAATTTCGGGGTAGGGTCTTGCTAAATCGCTAATTTGCTAAGGCTGGGCTTGAATTTGTGATCCTCCTGCTGCTGCAGCCTCCTAGAGGGTTGGAAGTACACACCTGATGGAAATACACTCTGGGCTGTAAAGAGATTGAACCTCATGTGTTTCACTGAGCCACTCTTAAGTCTGTCCTGAGTTTTCAAAAGAAACTCTTCTCAGTGTCATCTGCTTAGAGCAGTCCAAAGTTTTCTCCTGTAACCTGCTTGCCACGATATTCTATTTACAATTGTGGGCTGCTTCTGTTAATCAATGCATCACAAGTGTTAAAATCTTATTTAGGTCTTGTTCCTTCTGAAATTTCAAGTTTTTATATAAGCCCACTTGGTACAGGGAAACAACTATGGAGTTTAGTATCTGTATCTACTAAAGAATCTGTTACTTTGAAAAGGTTTCAGTTTCCCATGTGTCTTTTTCTGGTTTTTTAAATAGTGAAACCTTATTTATTAAGCTCTAGTTACACATACTATGTAGAAAGCATATTTCAGGTTTTAAGATGGGGGAATCAACAACTTATTCTTAAAGAGTTACTGGATGTAGGTCCCAAATTTAGGCCTTATTTATTTATTGAGATAAGGTCTCGCTATGTAGTTCAGGGAGGCTTTGAACTATGTAGCCTAGACTGGCCTAGAACTTGCAGCAATCCTTCTGCCTCAGCCTCCCTGGGATAACAGGCATGTACCCCTTGCCTGGTGGCCTTTCTATTTTAAAGTGTTTTTTTTTTTTAAGACTGTATTTCAATATGTGGTTTCTTTCTCTGGCTACAGAAGACATATTCCAGCAGATGGGGCTACAAATCAACATATGATTCTTGTCTTAATAGAATCACATGGTCTGAAAAAATTATTTTTATTCATGTACTACTACTGAAAAAATAGTGTATGATGAGGGCTGGGGGTTTAGTTCAGTGGCACAAGAGCCTGCCTGGCAAGCTCGAGGTTGTTTGATCCCCGACACCAAAAAGTTAAAAAAAAATAGGATGCCATGTTGCTTCTGTTTTACTGCAATACCAGGATACATTACATTTATATATATGCTTTGTCCTTGGCTTCTGGCACTGAGCTCTTTAAGCCCTTGATTTCCTAAGTGACACAAAATGATAGGAGCATCTTTTGTTGCAATATCTGTGTCTGCCTCTAGTTGCTGGCACAGAGCTCTTTCCGTTCCCTGGAGTTTTTCTAGTGACAGGAAATGAATCCTGGTAGGCTGTGGAATGGCTTCAGGATGGGGGCTGATAGCCAGAAACACCAAACACTGATTAGAAGCTTGGAACTCAAACCCAGGGACAGTACTCAGAGCTGGAGTTGGTGAGCGACCCCACCTATGTGATGAAACCTGCAGAGAACACCTACATCAGGAGATGCACAGCACTTCAGGGCTGGCGGAGCCATTCACAGGCCAAGGAAGGCGCACAGCCCACGTCTCCAAGGACAGAGGCTATGTCAAAGCATCCTGCGCACTCCTTCAGCAGCTGTTCATGTGTCCTTCACGACATCCTTCCTAACAAGCAGTCATTCCAGCAAACTCAAATCCAAGGACACCGCCTCAGGAAGCCCTAATTTATAGCCACGTGGTCCAAGGTAGAGGTGCTAATCTGGGACTTGAGGCTGGTATCTGAAAAGGGGGGGTGGTTTGTGAAACTGCTGGTGTCTGGAAAGTGGATGGGGGAGAACCTCATATTTTGGTGTCAGAAGTAATGTGAGTGATGACAGCAGGCTGCACTTATAAAAGCAAAAAGGCATTTTTCCTCTTATGTACTAAATGTAGATGAAAGCTATAAAAAGATTCATTTCACCTTAAACAAAATGCTTTAGCTGATAAGCTGTTTTGACCACAACCTATGATGAGAAATCATCTTATACACTGTACACACATGTAGATAAGCACACACCAGTAATTGACACAAGCTTCACAAACCACCAGCATTTATCCTGGGCAATGCATCCTTGTTCTATTCTATTCTATTTCTTTTCTTATTTTTTTAGGTACTGAGGAGTAAACTCAGGGCCTTTGAACTGAGTCATATCCCTAGCCTTTTAATTTATTTTTTATGTTTTAACTTAGTTACTAAGTTGCCAGGCTGGGGTCAAACTTGTGATTCTCTTAGTTTAGCCTCCTAGATTGATGGATTATAGGTGTACGCCAACACATTTGGCTTGTTTTTTCTTTTTCTTTCTTTCTTTCTTTTTTTTTTTTTTTTGAGACAGGGTCTTGCTTTATAGTTCAGGCTGGCCCTGAACTCACCATGTCACCCAGGCTGGCCTTGAATTCATGGTGATCCTCTTGCCTCAGAACACTGGGATTGCTTGCTGGTGCTCTCTACCATGACTGGCATGGCATCTTTTTTTTTTGGTATCAGTGGGGAAAACTCCTGACCTTACTCTCTCTGGCAGGTGCTGAGCCACTGAGCTATACCCCTTGGCATCTGTTTTTTAAAACTTGATCCTCTACCCGTCCATCATTCTCTCAGGCCAGGCTCCATGCACAGACCACAGCACTGCAGGGTGTGTTCACAAAGTACAGCCTCCGCTGTTCTAAGTCAGACATCAAAGGGATGTGGGCTGAGGATCTCAGCACGTTCAGATGTACAATCAAGACAAGGCAGAGATTTAATGCTAATACAGAAGGTGGCTGAAACCTCACGTGGCCAACTTCAAATGCCTGCTCTGGAGCAAGTGTGGGACCGGGAAGGTGCATGTGCTTCCTGAAACCATGCAGAGAGGGACCCTTGTCTCAGGCAAGAACAGTGGGAAGGGTTACCTCGGAACAAAGGAGTCACCAGTTCCATTACTCCCATAGGAAAATGAGGTGGCTCTCAAAATAGGGCAGAGTCATTCCTCAAGCCAAACATGGTGATGCATGCCTGTAATTCCAGCCCTTAGAAGGCTGAGGCAGGAGGAATCACTGCAAGTTCAAGGCCAGCCTGAACTACACAGTGAGATCTTGTCTCAAAAATCCAAAGCCAGTCTTCTGCACTACTTAGCCATACCACAAGACTGCTTTCTTTCCCAAAGTAGTCAAAAGCCCACATTTATATTACCTCAGTCAACTTAGAGACATAAGATTTCCTATTATTTTCTTGTGCATTTAGAGATAGAACATACTGCAAAGCGCCAGCTAAACTATTACGTGTCCTCTTAAACACCTACAAAATAAATGACTTTTAAATTTCAGGGCTACAGAAAGTCACTTCTCTTAAGACACTTGTGTGCCTCCATCCTAACTCCAGCCTCACTCAGACAAGAAGTGCCCAACTCAGAATTCCCTCTTTTCTTTTAATTATTGGGCTTTACAGAACTGAAGGCTCAATTAGATTTATTCGCACTCTGTACTTGACAACAGTTATTTCTATTCATGGCAAATGCTTTCTCTTGTTTTCACTTTAAATACTTTCATTATTTTATTTGAAACTATGATGAATTTTGAAGATGTTTCTCAAATCTTTTCCTGGAACATCTAAAGATGTTCCTAAAAGCAGGAAAACAAAAGTCCTAAAGAAAAATAAACATTGGAATTTGGAAAACATCCAAATCAATGGACAGCTTCCCAAAATAAAGTCTTCTGAGAGTTTACAACTGGTAACTCCAAAAAGCTGATTTCTGCATCAGCTGCTTCACAAGTAACCTGATAATACTGTGCTGCTAGCAGCAGTGTGAGAAAAATACGTCATCTGTTTGGATCCGCCAGGAACTCAGGTGTTTGCCTTTGGTGTCATCTCTGCCATGTGAGGGGATTCCGAGTAAGGCGGGCGTGAGAGTGGCTTCTCCAGACACGGCAGCCTTTATGTTCCGGTCTTGGAAACCACACAGAAAGTGGAGCCAGACTAGGACCCAACATAAAAATCACTTGCTAAGCCTGCCTTGATGGTCTGAGGGTTAGTCAGGAAGGAATGTACGTGTTTTGAAAGATGCCAGCTGGGGTTAAAAAAAAAAAAGCCCAAATTAAATATGTTCAGTGTGTACCTCCTAGAACTAAGGGTTGAAGACAGACATTCCAACCTGTTTTGTGGTAAATTCCAAAGGCTAAATCGAGTTTTAACTATCCCTCCTGCCAGGGTGGTACTACATTGTTGCCCGGTTTGCCTTCAATTTCTGGGCTCAAATGATCTTCTTCTGCCAGCCTCCTGCATACAGGGTACTACAGGCATGGGCCACCATGCTTGGGTCTACACTGCTATTTTTAACGTCAATGGTGACTGACATTAAAGCTCTCTTTGGCTCTTTTTGGTCCTTTCCAATTTAATAAACATTTATTAAGTACAAGGTATACGTCTAAGTATTGCACAAGATGTGAAGATTAACAAATGGGCTGACTCTGTCCTTAAACTGTCACTTAAAGGGAAAATGCAAACTGCAGTTGAAATTATCGCAAAAATCTCTTTACATTGGAGGTGGGGAAGGACACAAAATGTCGAACCTTTCCGAGAGTAAAAAAGCAAAACCTTCTAGGTGCTTTTTGATTCTGCCTTACCACCTCATTTCGACACCCAATGCTCAGTAATCACTGATTAACAAACGCTTGCTTGCCTGATGGATTACATTTAAAAAAATTTTTTTTGGCACTGAGGATTGAACCTGGGGCCTTCTCACTAAATCATGTTCCCAGCCCTTTCAAAAATTTTGAGACAGGGTCTTGCTAAGTACTTACGCTATCCAGGCTTGCATCAAACATGCAATTCCCCTGTGCCTCCTGGAGTGCTGGGAGTACAGGGGTGCACGATATGCCCAGCACAAATTTTAAAAATCCGATGAAGAATTTCTGGTTTGATTTTTTTTAAAGAAAAAATCATGTCTACAGTTTCATTCTTAGCTTAGACTTATAAATAATCCTTTTATAAACCATTTTACCTATGGTTTATATGTATCGTTAATTCTTAAAAATCAGTATTTTGAGTTTCCTAGACATGTTATGTGAAAAGAATTCCAGGTTGGCCGCCAGTTCTGAAGCACTGGCAGCAGCATACATTATGACAGGCGAACACAGCGTTACAGGCACACCACCTACCTCGTTCACAGTCAGAACTGGAAGGTTGGTCCTGGAGGGCTGCCTGGTCCTCGATGCTTTCAGGGGTCTTTTGAACTGGGGAAAGTCTTGTTTTGGAACAAATGTTTCAGTTGATACAGATGAGCAATGTCTCTTTAATATTTTTATAAACCACTGGGAACCCAAAAGAGATGGTTTGTGGGTCACTTTCCTATGAGTACCAAGTGATTTCATGGTTAGAAGGTGCCCTTTGTCATCCTGGCAGTGTGCAGTCGTTAATGGAGACAGTCTGCTTGCATCTGAAATTTTCCAGTTCATTTCCAGGACCCGAGGCTTGCTCAAGCCATCAGCTGCTGTAACAGGAAAGTGTGACTCCAGGTTTTGGTGGATCATCAGGGTGCTGTTGCATGTTGGATTTCCAAACTCCTTTAGTGGTTTTAAAGTCAGATGAACCAATCTTTGGCATGGATGTGCTTTTGATAATACACTGTGAGATCCGGTGAGAGCTCTGAGAAGTCTGGCTGACATTATCACATCCCAAGCTGAAAGAAAAAAAGAACTTCAAAATTCAAGTTATTTAAAAAATATTTCATAAAAGATACGCACATAAGATATTTCCCCAGGAAAGAGGCATATTTCTGTTAAAAACTGTTTAAAATAGGTTGGGTGTGGTGTCATAGCCGTGTAATCCTGACACTCAGGAGACTGAGGCAGGAGGATCACCCTAAATCTGAGGGCCAGCCTGGGCTACATAGTGCGTTCAAGGTTGGCCTGAACTACATAGTGAGACCCTGTCTCAAAACAAAGAAATAAACTAACCAACCAACCAACCAACCAACCCAAACAAAAAATATGAAACAGAGACCTCTAAATTCTAATTAAAGAAGAGGGTGAAAACCACACCTTCCTGTGAGCCAGCTGGTACAGGGGCTGGGAAAAAGAAGAGAGCCCCTCCCTCCGGGTAAGCAGCTGGCTGACTGAGAGGGACTCAGGGTGGGGTGACTGACAGCAGCTGAGGTGCAAGGAATAGCCTGATGCTTGTATTGTTTGACTGACTCTGCGGGCCTGGGGCTGGAGGTCTGGGCATCTACTTGGAGGATGGCAGTGTGTACTGTGGCAACTGCGGGGAATTTCCTCCTGTCTTGTTTTTGAAATCCAATGTTTTATTTCATTTTACTGTTTCGTTTTGTTCCTGTATCTGGTAATCTGAGCAACTATTTTGAAGATAACAGTATGCAATATAACAACCATTGTTAAACTTCTATCATCTTGTTTTAAAAACTGATATAATTATTGTTTTTTTATTGTTGTTTTTCTGGTTTGTTTGCTTCTTGATTTTTCTGGTTTTTTTCTCTTTAAAATTAAAAAAAAGTGAACTACTCTATGTAACATTATAGGTAAATATCCGGTGCCCAACACAAGGGGAAAAAAGTGAAAAACATAATTGTAGGGCTGGGGCTCAGTGGTAGAATGCTTGCCTAGTATGTGCAAGGTCCTGGATGTGATCTTTGGTGCTGTCAAAACAATTAAAAACAGTGTATGTTTATCTGCATATATACATATAAAAGCTTTCTGCCATTTTGCTTTCCATTTTTCAATTAGTCAGTAATTGGCTTTTTTTCTAGAAGATTCCAAGATTATAAGGCTACTGACATTACAAGGACCTTCAGAGAGGAAAAAGGGATAGGGTCTCTTCCTTCCTTGCATTAACATACAAATTATTATGCTTACAAATTCCCTTACTCAGTTTTATTCATCCTCAATAATGAGGTAATAACTAAGTGAGGCCAGGGATGAGTCCTGGAAAGTGACCATTTCCTTATACTTCTGAGCTGTCCTGGAAGGGGCAGGTTTTCAACTGTTCCTTAATTCCCTGAACAGACCCTGCCCCTGGGGGCAGCAGGGAGACAGACACACAGGAGCTCATCCTGTTCTGCCTGATGAGTCATAAAGGCTGCAGAAAGATTTATGCTACTTTTTCAGCTTGGAGCTGGGCATGGGGGAGGGACCGGTCAGGCAGTCAATAACACACACAGCTCAAAGGAAATGGACTGCATACATGATTTCCTCCTTATTTATACTCTAAAATATGCCTTCGTTCAAAACTAAACTTAGGCCAAGGGATGTGGCTCAGTTGAAGAATGCTTGTCTAGTGTGCAGGCCTTGGGTTGGATCCACTGCACCCCCAAAAGGAGAGGGAAAAGTCAACCTATAATAGGTGATCACTTCTTTTCAAAAATCACCTTAGGTGCTAGCGATACAAGTATAAATCAGCAACTTCAGAAATAGCAGTCCAGCTAAGGAAAAAAATGATATGATGAACAAGTGCTGTGGGGTCCTGAGAAGGAGCATCTGAGGTGAGGAGTGGTTGTGACACTCAGGTGACTTTTGGACTGGGTCTTGAAAGGGCAGAGGGGTCAATCAGCAAGTCAAACAGCCTAGGTACACCGTACTGTTTACCTAACAGATGCAACTTCCAGGGTGGGAGGAGATACAGGAGGTAAGGACAGGAAAGCAGCCTGCGGCCAGAGCCTGCACAGATCCAGTAAGTGATCCTACAAAGTCTTCCGCAGGAGGAGGGCAGCCAGGCTTTCAGAGTTGAGGTTCACACAGTTAGACGTATGTGGCATCTTTGGTAAAGATGTGATCAAGGAACTGACAGAGACTAAGACACTATCTTCTAGCACTGTCTCTGTTTCACCTCACATTAACCCAGAGAGGCATTTACTGATGTGGAGACTGAGTTTTAAAGAGGACAATAACTCACAGTCAGCTACCTGCAGAGATGTTACTAGAGTCCAGGCTTTTCCATCCCAAAGTTTACACCATGCTGGAACACTCCCCTTCAAAGGGCAAGGCTGAGCCACAGCAATGTTTACCCAGCAGAACCTGCTGCTCTCAAGTGAAAAGCTGGTACTCTGCGTTTAGTTCTTGTTCATCTGTAATTGCGCTATTCTTTGTCGGATGACCAGAGAGTTTTTGTTTGGCTTTGGCTTTTGAGGCAGGGCTTTGCTATGTAGACCAGACTAGCCTAGGACTTGTGATCCTCCTGCCTCAACCTCCCAAACGATGGGATTGTAAGTGTGTACCACTGTACCTAGCCGAACCAGTTGGGTTCTACCTGATGTAGCTGAAGAGTCCCATGTTCAGCCTGTGAGATGTTGCCAGGTTTTAAAGCTCAGGGCACAGAAGGGTGGCGGCTGAGCCCTTGTGCTCACTGCGTGGCAATGCCAGGGCCTTCCTTGGACACTGGGATGCTGGGTGCCACAGTCCTGGGTCTGCGCCTAGGGGGACATGGGGTTCTTCCTTCTCTCCACTGTGCCTCAACTCATTGGGTATCACTGGAGGAGCATCGGAGTTTTTATACCTAAGGGCTGGGCCTGGAGGATGACTACTTTGCACACTTGTCTCCTAGGTACTGTGTGTGTGTGTTCCCGTGCTATTGAAGTTGACATCCTTGCAGATTCAGCCCCGTGTTTCTGACAGGTTGTAGGAAGCAATGATAATTTTGGCTTTTTCAGTTTTGTCTTCAGACAATGAAAGGTTTTTGTCAAATAGCTGAGTGTCAATATGAGTTCTATGGCTTCAATCTCCTTTCAACATAAAATTCTTAAGAGTCAAAACAAAGGATGGGGGGCAAATTTAAAAAAGGAAAAGAAAAGAAAGAAAACCAAGCCAAAAGAAAAAGAAAAAGAAATCTAATGGCTGCTTTAGCATGGAAGCTACATGAAGCCCTATCACAGAAATGTAAAAGCTACAGGACAAACAACCAACCATCCAACCACTGGGGAAGTCAGTGTGGAGATCCCTTAAAAAAACTAAAACATTGGGGGCTGGGGATTTAGCTCAGCAGCATAAGCACCTGCCTTGCAAGCAGGCAGTCGTGAGTTCGATCCCCGGTACCAATAAAAAAACAAACAAACAAAAAAAACTAAAACATTTCACCCAGCTATTCTCCTTCTTGGTATTTTCCTGAAAGAATTAAAAGCAGTGATATATGCACACCCACGTTTATGGCAGCACAGTTTTTAATAGCTAAATCTTTGAAACAGCTCAAGGGCCTATAGCCTGGTGAATGGATAAAGAAGATGTGGCTCTTTTATATAACGGAGTACTACTCCATTGTAAAGAAAGATAAACTTGAGACACTTCTAGGCAAATGGATATATGTTGAGATCATGCTCTTAAGTGAAATGAACTGGACACGTGTGAATATTGCATTGTTTCTCTGGTGTGAGAGACAGCAAATAAGGATCAAAATGTATACTAGATATTGTGAAATAGCAATAAAATGTTCAAGTAGGAAGGGGAGGAGGGGAGAGGGGAGGGAGAAAGGACAGAAGGGAAAAGTAAAAAAAGAAAAGAACAAGAGAAAAAAATGGAACAAAGCTTTTGTAAATGGGGAGAGGAGGAGGGATTGAAGGGAGGGCAGGGGGTTGGGGAAGAAGTCACATAATGTACAAGTATAAATTCTCTATGAGAAATGTGATAACCTGTCTGTCTTCTATTTTGGGCCCATACACTTTACCTTTCCCCCTGCTATGACAGCATCAAGCCCTCCATCTGTAAGCTGACTCTGACTCCTTTCTACCTGGCTTCCCTCTCATCCATGCCATTTTCTCCCCCTCTCTCAGAACATCCCTATTAGCCTACATTTATGCTAGACTATTTCTCACCTTAAACAGTCTCTCATCTCAGAGATCCTTTCCAAAGGAGTTTCATTTACTATCTCCAATTCTTTTTCCCTACTTGCTTTCAAATTCACTCCATTTGGGCTTTTATCTCTATACTTTACCCAAACTAGATCATCTATGACCTCTGTATTTCTAAATTCTCTGCCCATTTCTCAGTCAACGTTTTACCTGACTACCAGGGGCATCTGGCGCAGCCCATCACCCCGGCCTCCTTGAAGCGTCCTCTTCACTGGGCTCCGACGATGCCACACGGCTGCTGTCCTCATTTCTCACTGGCTGTACCTTCTGTCTGGTTTCACCAGGACTCAGTCTCTGGGCCCCATTTCTTCCCAATCAGCCTCTTGACAATCTTTAGTTTTATAAACTCTCTAAACACTGATAAACAGGAAATATGTATCCCTCTGGGAAGCACTAGACACATAACATGTTCAACACTGAGTGCTGAAATCTTCCCAGAAAACTATTCTTTCCGTAGTCTTTCTCCTTTACAACAGCAATTATATCCATATATTTCTCTAAAGTCAAAAAAATCTGGCATGTGCCTTGATTCTTCTTTTCATTCCCCATACCCAATCCGGCAGGAAGTGCCCTGGTCTTCTTAAAATGGGATTCATAATGTTACATTCTCTACCCTCTACAGTTCTCTCCCTTACTAATTCTAATAACCTTCACCTCTTGATCTGGTCCTTGTGTTCTTCTCCCAGGGATCTGTAAGGTTCCCTCCTTTTAAAAGTCTGCTTCACCTAGTGAAGCCTTCCCCAACCGCTCCATTTAATGCACAGCCAGCACCCTCTCTCTCTCCCTCTACTTTCTATTTCTCCATTGCATTTACCATCCTTGGACACCCTGGGTTTTCTCTTTCATTCATACAACAATTACAAACTGAGTCCTTACCGCATGCTTATTGCTAATACAGCTGGGAGTAAAACAAACAAAAAGCCTTTTGAACCTTGTGAGAATAGCAAACAATAAACACCACCAAGTCAGCAAAAATCTATAGTAGATGACAGAACTAAAGGGAGCAAAATGAAAAGGAAAGATTTTTTTCTCTCTGCTAGAAAGATCCATGAAAACAGAGACTTCTGTGTTTATTCATGCTGCAGCTCTTGTGACAATGATATCTGTCTGACACATAGTTATCAACTGCCTTTTGTGGCTTTTTCTTTTGCATTGTTTCTTTGTCTTTTTTTTTGAGTTAGCGACTTGCTATGCAGTCCAGGTGGGCCTAGAACTCACTGTGTAACCCTGGCTGGCTATGAATCTGGAGCAGTCCTCCTGCCTCAGCTTCCAAGTGTTGGGATTATAGGCGTGCACCAGCACACCCAGCTAGGTATCAACTGACTTATAAAAATGAAACAATGATGTGAGGTGGGGATTCAACACAGATAGATAAAGGAGCTACGCTGGTTGTACTCAAGAGAAAATTAACTAAAAATGGTAATTAGAAGAAAGGGCAGGAGGACACATAACTTGATGCCAAAATTAACTGGAAATAAGAGACTTGCAGACAAATAAAACACAGGTACAGGAATTTGTAAAAAGGTGGAGCAGTCCCTAAGAATACCTGTGGGACCTCTGCCTCTCGCTAGTGCAGGAACTGTCATTGCAATTACTTCCCCAAAAGTGGATGAAACTCAAAGAGCATGCAGAATCAGCCCACACAGGACAGACTTTGGGTACACAGCCCCTTGGCCTTTTTTACCCTCCTCTCAACAGTGGACGCTGCAGCACGCCAGCATATTTTGCCAGGACACAAAGGGGCAAGTGACCAGGAAGCTGCTTCCTCCCCAGTGGTCCACCAGTTTGTTCTCAGAATATGGGAAGATAAAAGCAACCTCTGACTGAGTTGGGAACTATCAGGGACATAAAAGTGAGCCAACCCAGAGTCCTCCAGGGAGAAACACACCCGGGAGCAGGGCAATTAAGTCTGCAAACTGCAGACGCTGATCAGAACCTCTGCAGACACCGAGGAGAGGCGCCTGCAGTGAAGACAGCAAGTCTGCCTGTAGCACTCCTACCCAACCCCCTCCAGGCTGTGGGAGAGGGAGAGAGACGAGCCAGCGGAGTGCAACGGAGGCGCTGGCTGAATGCTAGTCTTGGACTGACTTTGTGTACGGGTTGAAAGCCCATGGCAACTGGGTGAATGACCAATGTGGAGACATAAGGATAAGGCGATTACATGGGCAGGCTGTCAAGGGACAATGAGAAAACTGCTGGCTGAAGACACCTGCCCCAGTCCCCTTGGCCTTAACCTTGGAAGTCAAGATCAGCCTGCAAGTCTGGAGCTTAAAGAACAGAGTCGAGGCACACTGAGCTCACTGCAGGATGGATGGCAGTGCGCTGCACCCAGCACTGATCCTACTGCAGACTGAGTGCGGTCACGCTACATAGATTTGAGCTGTGACTCAGACACTAGCACAGAAGTGCAGACAGCAGAAGACAGTGGGGGCCTGTGATCAGAGGAATTTTTTCTTTTCTCTACTTCTTTTTCTTTTTTATTGTTTAGGTTTTTATCTCTGTTGTTTGTTTGTTTGTTTTTTTCCTCTTTCTTTTCTCAACTGTCTTTTGATATTTTGGATTTTCTCATGTTTTTAGTTTTCTGGTTTGCTTTGATCTCTTTTGGCTCTTCCTTCATTCTTTCCTGTCTTCTTCTCCAGTGTTCCAAAGCTTGGGTGATTTCATTTGTCCCTCAGCATTGCTTCCAATAGTGTTCTCTTCATTTACTTTTCCATTTTTCCCCCTATCCCCCTTAATTCCTCCCTGCCCAGGGCAAAAGCACTCTACTAAGGGGAATACAAATTCCTGGTTTGTGTTGGATTTTGTAGTATAACTATAGATCTTACTCCTATCGTTAATGGTACCAAATTAATAATTACCACAGTTTGTCAGTTTTGAGGCTGTGCTTGATGCTATGTTATTGCTAATTGCACAACTTTAGCCAGGGTGTCATATCTGTCATATCTATTGTGATCAGTTATATTTCCTTGTATGACAAAACTGTGACTGACTGGGGCCATATTCATTACCATGGTCCACTATTAAAGGCCCAGGTGTGGGTTCATATAGACAGTAACTTCTTATCCCTAGCAAAGTGGGAAGGTAGACTCTCGGAACAGCTATACAAGGAAGACATCTCTGAGGAACAGACATTTCCTAAGATAGCCTTGATACTAAAAAGCTGCCTAACATAAGCAATTTATAAGCATTAGCACAGAAAGAAGTTTTTAAACACTAGAAAGGGAGAAGGCACAGAAACAAGATGCAACCCCAGATCTCCAGCCCACCCAGGGCAAGTCCAGGGGACAATGAGGAGGACAAAATCAGAAACCATCCAACTGAATTTTCTGAAATAAGAGTAGTGGAAGTAACAAAACAGATGAATGGGGCTATAGAAAAAAAAAAATCAGATCAGAAATAATTTCTCAGGTTAAAAAAATTATAATCACAATGAAGGATTTGGCTAGGGAACCTGGAGTATATAGATTTTTAAAAATATGAGCTTAGAAAAATGATGGAAACCATGAATGACCAACACGGCAAAGAAATGGAATCTATGGAACAGATTCAACTGTATAGCCAGGATATTAAAAATCCTACTGAAAGTATATGCAGCAGAGTAAACCAAAGTGAGGACAAAATATAGGATCCAGAAAATAGGATCATGGTTAATGATCAAAAAGATGTTGAAAACAGCAAAGGGCCAGGAAAAATCAATCCAACAGCTGATCAGAGTCTATGAAAAAGCAGGAGATATTGCAAATGTCATAAAGAACCTGTTCACATGAGTAATGGCAGAAAACTTCCCAAGCATGGAAAAAGAATTCAACATATAAGGGGGCTGGGGATTTAGCTCAGCGGCATAAGCACCTGCCTTGCAAGCAGGCGGTCGTGAGTTCGATCCCTGGTACTGATAAAAATGAAAAAGACAAAAAACAAAACAAAACGAAACAAAACAAAACCCACCAGAATTCAACATATAGCGGAAGTGTGGCATAGTTGTGACCAAAAAAAAAAAAAAAAAAAAAAAAAAAAAAATCCACCCCAAAGCAGGTAATAGTTAAGATTCCAGAAATTCAGCACAAGAACAAAATATTAAAAGCCATTAGAAAAAAAGAAACAAATCATCTCCAAAGCAAACCCCAACAGAATCACAGCAAACTTCTCAACGAAACCCTTAAGTCAAGGAGAGGTTGGAGTGAAGTATTTCAAGTCTTAAAAGAAAACAACCTCCAACCCAGGCTGATATACCTTGCAAACTATCTTTTAAAATCAATGAAGAAGGGGCTGGGGATTTAGCTCAGCGGCATAATCGCCTGCCTTGCAAGCAGGCAGTCATGAGTTCGATCCCTGGTACCGATAAAAACGAAAAAGACAAAAAAAAAAAAAATCAATGAAGAAATAATATACTTCCATGACCAAGGACATCTGAAGAAATTCATGATCACCAACCAGAATTCCAAAATGTTCTGAAGGATATTCTATAAATAGATAAGGGAGACTACAATTCTCCATGAAAACTAATAGAATCCACTGGGTAAGGCAAGCAATTAAACATGGGAAAGAAAAGAGAATCAACAATCGTAAAATAATATGACAAGGACTGGGGTAGTGGTGCATATCTGTATTCCCTGCACTTGGGAGGGTAGGGCAGAAGGATCACTGTGCATTCAAGGCATCCTGGGTTACATAAGGAAGATCAAGGTCAGCCTGCACTACATAATGAGATCCTGTCTCAACGAAATCAAAATAAACAAACAAATCAAATTTATGACTATCTATGTAAATCATATCAATTCACCAATCAAAAAATCCCCACACTGGCAGAATGGATCAAGAAACAAGATTCCACAATATGCTGTACACAAGAAACACATTGAACTCAAAAAGACATTCAAACACTAATGGATATGAAAAATCAAACAAGCACTAACACAATTACAATGGGGGATCTCAATATCCAGATCAACTAGACAAAATCAACAAAGAAATATCAGAACTGAACCAAACCTATGAGCAAAAGGACTTAGTAGATGTCTACAGAGTGTTCCAACACACATCAGAATATGCATTCTTCTCAGTTGCGCGTGGGATATTCTTGAAAACATACTAGCTCTCAGAACATGCTTAAGTAAATGCAAAGGAACTGAAATTATCTCATGCATATTCTCAGACCATAGTGGTGAATTTCCACATCAGGAAAACAGAGTGAGCTAAAATAAATAATCCAATGTTGAAACTCAAGCTTCTACAAAAAGAATAAATCAAGCCCAAACCTTGTATAAAGGAGGAAATTATACAAGTCAGAGCACAAATTAATGCAGCTAAGACTAAGAAAACAATAAAAAGAATCAATGAATTGAAGAGTTGGTTAAATTTCAAAGATTAAATAAAACTGACAAACCCTTAACCAACCTTTTCAAAAAAAAGGAAAGACTCAAATCCATGCAATTAGGAGTGAAAGGGATGAAATCACAACAGATTATGCAGAAATCAAGAAGATCATCAGTATCTATTTTGAGAACCTACATTCAAGTGAGATGGAAACCAGAGAAGAAATGGACAGATTCCTAGACACACACGAATTACCAAAGCTGAATCAAGATGTAAAAATCCTAAATGACCCAAAATCAGTCAATTAAATTAAGATGTGATTAAAAAACCTAACAACAAAGAAAAGCTCAGGTCCT